GGGACCCGCAGGGGGGGGGGGGGGGGGGGTAAGGGAGAGGGGGGGGCGGTCGGTAGGGTCTGTACTTCCTTAAGTACGCCTTCTTAGACCCAAGACAAGTACCCCCCCTGAAGGGCCCTTATGACTCCCCAAAGCGCTCTGAGACGTAAAAATTCCGGAGGCATCCTTGGTTTGCTATGGGGCGTTGGGTTTAGGGTTTATGGTTTAGNNTGTCTTTAAAGGGGGCTATAGAGCTCTAGATGGTTTAGGGTTTAGGGTTTGGGTTTGTCTTTAAAGGGGGCTATAGAGCTCTAGATTCCCAACCTGGTAACCTGTACACCGCAAGCCATACCCCAAGGACCAAGCCCCAAAACTGGAAGTACGGTTGATGATATAAATCCTGCATTACCCATAGTAAGGAATATACCACAATTCCTAATAGTTTAGGGACCTTAAGGTAATGCAGGATTTCCATCATCAACAGTACCAACCTCAAGTGCCGGAACAACCTAAAGCCTAGAATGGCAGAAGCCCTCCACCGTTGAAGAAGCTCAAACACTAAACTCAACCCCAACCACTTGGCCCCGCTTTGGGTTTAGGTTACATCCATAGAGGGCCTACCTTTCAGTGCAAGTAGGACCTTAAGCCTAAGCCATGTATTTTTAGCTTTGGTGTGTCCTGTTCCTGCCGAGGTGGCAGCTTGCTTTGCAGCTCTTCGGAGAGATGTTGGGAGCCAAGCTGACTCCCGATGTCATCAGCTACAGCGTGGCCCGTCGCAATCCAGAGACCGAGCTTTCACTTGCAGGATACCGAACGAAAACCTATAGGGACATCCTACGATTTATCTGAATCCTCATGTACTTGCAACTGAAATGTCTAGCATCAGTTGCCAACTTGTTTAGCAAGAATCCTGAGACGGCGTAAACGCCTTTACAATCAGAAGCCTGAAAACAAAGATCCTTAGGCTTCGTTGATCGCGCAGTCAAGGGTTCAGGGTGATGTAGGAGCCCTGGATAACAATAATAAAATAGAAATAACAATAAGAAGAAGCAAAATAGTACGACTAGTAATACGAATACCAATACTATTCCTGGAGGCTCCCTCATCAACGTATAGAGTTCGATGCCACCCCAATCGAGGCGACCATCAGTGCCTGTGCTTCGGAGAGGCGAGTGCAGTGGCAGTTGGCCTTGCAACTCTTTGGGGAGATGCCGAAACTTCTGCTGGCTCCGAATGTCATCAGCCACTTCAGTGTTCATGGTGTAGGGCTCCCAACTTTTGCATGTTTTGCCCTTCTATTCCGATAGCATTACCTTGCGTGCTTCCCCTCAACAAGCACCTCCGGGGTCGTTAAACTCGAAAAATCGAAGGTTTTAGAACCCTCAGCCCCTAAACTCAAGCCCTTAAACCCCGAAAGCCCTGAAACCGGAAACCCCAAAAACAGCACCAGATTTCCAAAGCCCAAACCCCAACAACACCTGCGAGTCTTCCTAGGAGCTCGAAACTGGGGGGTTTCGGGTTTAGGGTTTTTGGGGTTTCGGGTTTAGGGTTTTAGGGTTCCGGGTTTAGGGTTTTAGAGTTTGGGGTTTAGGGTTTCAGAGTTTCGGGTTTAGGGTTTGGGAAGGGTGTCGGGACACTTCAGGCTACAATGCCGCCCTCAGCTCCTGCGAAAAGGCAGGGTTGCCGAAACATTGTGAAAGTTGGATGACTCTTGGCATTTGCATGATGTTTAAAGTCTGGGAGTTTCGACATCGTCGACTTGGAGCTGTAGGGATATAGGGTTAGGCGACCTGCAAGACTAGCCCATCTTCCGCATGTGCAACTCTGTTTGAAGCCTGCGCACCGTTTAGTCGGGCCCATAACCTTGCGAGTATACTTGGGTTCGCGTCGAGCAGGCCGGGCAGTGGCAAGTGGCATTGCAGCTGTTCGACTCGATGCAGTCTGGCAATCCCAGTCCTGACATCATCAGCCACAGCGCAGCGATCAGCTCTTGTGAGAAAGGCCGTGAAGCGTTGGCCCTAAACCCCCCTAATTACCGGTACTTTGACTTTTTGGACCCAAACCCTCAACCCTGAGTTTTGATATTACTAGTTCTACTACTGTTATGGTTATCGAAATATAGATATTATTGTTGCTATTATGTTTCATATGCTTGTTCTTATTACTTCTATTAGTTATATTAATACCGCTAAGAGTGAACCTAAACTCCAACGGAAAGGTGGCCAGTGGCAGTCAGCTTTACATATCTTCGCATTTATTCAGAAGGCACGCCTCAGCCCTGATGTTATCAGCTACAGTGCCGCCATCAGTTCATGCGAGAAGGGTGCGCAGTGGCAGGTAGCAGTGCACATGCTGAGCCACATGCCTGCGGCGAAACTTCTACCCAACATCGTCAGCTACAGTGCCAGCATAAGTGCTTGCGAAAAAGGTGAGCAGTGGCAGATGGCACTGCACCTCTTCAGTGCGATACCGAAAGCCATGCTGACTCCGACTGAAATTAGCTACAACGCCACCATCAGCTCTTGCGAGAAAGGCCAGCAGTGGCAGCACGCACTGGGATTGTTCAGCTCCATGCCAAAAGCGAAGCTCAAGCCCAACATCATCAGCTACGGTGCGGCGATCAACTCTTGCGAGGAAGGAAGCCAGTGGCAGCTCTCCTTTCAACTCTTCTACGACATGTTGGGTGCTAAACTTACTCCCAACTTGATACTCTACAGAAGCGCTATCAGCTACTGCGAACTGGGTGGTCGATAGATGCTTCTGCTCCAGGACATGCACAAGAACAGCCCAAAAGGCATCTGGAGATCAGTGGAATCAAAAGGCAAGCCATGGAAACTCCTGTGAAGCTCGTGCTCAGTTTCCGCATGCGGCTTGGAATCAATCATCAAGGCCCCCAAGTCCAAGAGCCCAAAACCTTTACCCTAGACTGTTGCTGGGGAAGCTCTACATGTCCTTCAGCACAGGCATAAATACCTTCAACCATAGTAGGAAGGCCCCTATATGATGAATTCCTGAATTCAGGATTGTTGGGCTTTCTGAGCTTGCTAACTCATAACTTAAACCCTGAACCCTAAACCCTAACCCCTGAACCCTAAACCCTAAACCCTCAAGAAAGAAATAAATAGAAATTGCTTGTTGCTGTTAACCATCCGGAAGTTTTTTTCGGTGGAGACGGTGGAGACACACCTTTCCATTTTCGGATAAACCAATTTCCATTTCATTTTCGAATAAACCAATTTCCGTTTCAGGGTTGCTCAGCCAGCCCAGCCCAGCCCAGCCCCAGCCCCCAGCCCCAGCCCCCGCCCCGCCCCGCCCAGCCAGCCCAGCCCAGCCCAGATTCTGGTTCGCCCAGTCCAGGCCCCCAGCCACACCCCAACCCAGGCCAGCCCAGCTCCTCCACCCTGCCCAGCACCAAGCCCCAGATTCAAAATGTGGTTCCAAAAAAAACTGCCCAAAACTTTCGCCCAAAACTTTCGGTCAAAACTTTGGCACCCAAACCCTTAACAATTTCTATTTGCAGGCATGCGTCACCGTACCTGCTAGTGTCTGTGTTATGATTACTTCTCTGTGAGTGTCGGCATGCACTGGCAAGGTGCAGGAGCTTGTCTGCGTCTTGGATATTGCCGTGCATCTCGCGTAAAGTGTGTGATAAGTTTCGCCAGCCTGTATGCATTTTTAGCCAGGTGGACGAAGAGCAGGTGAGGCTCGACCACCGTCGCTTCTCTCGGTGCATTGCTCAGATTTTGGCTTCGTCTTGCGACAACAAATTAGTTGTAGCGGAACCTGCAGCGGGATGCATGACATCTTTGAGGTGGAAGCGTCCTTGCACAGGGGCTCCTTGTCGAGCATGGCTCCCGAGAAGGGTCGCATTGAAGGGAGGGGAGGCCGAGCGGAGTGGTGGTGCACAAAAAGCACCCTGACTGTGAGGTCCGGCGTGTGCGGCTGCCGTCAGGAGGCTTTTGCTACGTGCCGTTGAGTGGTCTGCGTTTGCATCTTAGTT